GAACTGGTGTCCAGATCCAGCCGCTGTTGAAACTGATCAGTTTCAGCAGCGGCTGAATCTGGACGCTAGTTCCGACTTACATACAGATTCAACTTAGGGACTGTAGGTTTGTTCTTATCTTGTACATAACCCGGGGACTGCCTGTATCCTTAAGGCTTGACTTGTGGCTATCTATAAGCTCCCTAGTGACTAGCACTTTCAATTTGGTAGAATTGGCAGTGATCGTGGGTTTATTTTCTTGTTACAGCCATTTAGCCTGTGATGAAGAGAGAGTGGATGAGGCAAAGCTGTTGGTGTCCCATGGTGCAAGTATTTACATTGAGAATAAAGAAGAAAAGACCCCATTGAAAGTGGCAAAAAGTGGCCTGGGAGCTGTACTTAAGAGACTGGTGGAAGGCTAGCAGTGTTGTATGAGTTATGACTTGAATTCCACTCCTGATGCACACATTTAAGACTATTACCTTAATATTTTGATAGCTTAATGGTGATGGCTTAAATTTCATTATAATGTGCATATGTATGTATGTAGTGGTATATGTCAGTACTCTTCCATTGCACCACCAAGCACATTTCTAATTGCCTGTTAAGTAAACCAGCAGCACTTTAAATAATTTTAGTATCCTGCAGTTTTATTTCATGTAAAATTACTGTTACTTTCATAAATTGGATTTGGAAGAAACCTGTTAGATCATTCTTTCTATTTTACAGGGCCTACTGTGGGATTGTTTCTTTGTAGTACACTTGGGACCATTGTAGTCTGGGACTCTGTGGTCCAGCAACATCTGTTGTCTGGCAGGACCTCGGATGTTGCTGGACCAGAGAGCTCCAGTGGCTGGGAGCAGGAACTGACTGATAGTCCAGTGTCAGAGATACAGGAGCCAGGGCTGGTGGCAGAGCACAGCTGAACTGGGAGTGTGTCCCAGTGATTGGAGCTGGCAGCAAGGTTGGCAGCTGGGAAGGGAGCCTGGAGCAGAGATCATTGGCCAGGAGGAGCATTGCACTCCATCCCAGTGTACTTCCCCTGCCTCAGACCCAGGCTTCCCTAGTGCCTCCCCATCCCAGTACACTCTCCCCTGCCTCAGACCCAGGCCCCTCTAGTGCCCCCCCATCCCAGTGCACTCCCTCCTCCCCCGAGGCAGGCATCCTCAGTGTTGGGAGCCCAGCTCCAATCAAATCTCCCCTCTTTCCCCCGCAGACCTAGGCATGGAGGAACAATCTTACTTTTAAAGTGGCTGCTCCTGCCGCCCGGCACGGCTGCCTCAGCTTGTAGGGGAGGCATCTTGATATCCATATTGCTCATTTCTTTTCCCAGCTTAATCCAATTTTTATTTCTCTTCAGATCATTCTAAACCAGTGTTTTTGAAGGTGTTCTGTGGAATCACTCTCAGCAACACATTAACTCGCTACTCCAGTTTGTTTATTTACCGGCACCATGGCCACGGAGCCTCGCAGCTCCCGTTGGCTCCATTTCATCCTTTGCAGCCAAGGGGAGACGTGGAAAGCTGCATGGGCTGGGCTGTCACTTCCTGCTGCTCCCTTTGGCCGCAAAGACAAAAAGGAGCCAATGGGATCTGTGAGGCTCCAATACATAAACAAACTGGTGCAGCCAGTTAAAGTGTTGCTGAGAGTGATCCCGCGGAACACTTTTAGAAACACTGCTCTAAACTATTCCTCTCTCTCTGTGCTGTATAGATTGCTATCGACTACTTCTAGTGGTTAATTCTGTCGCCGCCTCTTTCGTTTGTCAAACCTCCTTTTGACATAGCTATAAATACTTAACTCTCAATATGTCCTTATTGCTTGGCCTGTCTGGTCCAAACTGTGATGTTCCTTTCATTTTGTCAAACGCTTCTTGGTAACAAGGTTCTCTAGCTGTGTCTAGTAATGTACATGCAGATTTGCTACCGCTCCCACAGAGATACTATCCTCTAATTACTTTGCTTTCTGTTGACCCAGTATGTCTCACTGAAAGTTTCCATCTAATTTTACTGTTCACTATCTCCTTTAATTGACATCCCAGCTTTTAAGAGGGTGTTTTGCTCATTGACTGCCTGTGGCCTGGATTTTTTTCCCTCAGATATACTATCTTGAATCTCATTGAATTGCTTTCTCTTTCAGTCTTTTTTTAACTCTCTCCATTTATCTTCTGTCAGTGCTCCCAGCATGGTGCATCCCACTGTGTAATATTATCTTTGACTTATTTAATTTTCACTTGTTTCACATCAATAGTCCAAGGCACCTTTATTTACCTTATTTATAGGAAGGTAAAATTGTCGTGTGACTGAAAAAGTTGTTCATGGGCATGGATTTAGATTGGCATATTTTATCTCTTCCTATATGTTCTCCAAAGCAGCAGTTCGCAACCGCTGGTCCATGCTATAAAAAAGGTTGAGAACCACTGCTCCAAAGCATTCAGAGAATAGATATGGCAAAACCTAATTTTACTGTCTTGATTTTTGTACTAATAGCCTCCTAGGTGATAACTATCAAAAGCTGCAAATAGTGCCCGGAGGTTGCATCCTTGCAGAAAGTTATCACTATATTTAGCTTTCTTTGAATTTTCCCTGCTTGAATTACATGGCTATAAACCGCCTGCCCGCAGAAGCTCCTTCTTACGCCATGAGGACTTACAAAATAAAACAGGTTTTTCCAGAAATCAGTTGTTTTGGAAAATACTCTTATTTCCAGTAGGATCACAGCAGTACGCATTCCTAACTTGGAGCTGAACGCTTCAGGAATAAATACACTTCTCAGGAGATCAAACAATCACCATTCCACCATTGCTTTTCTCTCTTGTGGGGGAAGGAAAGCTGGGACTCAGTTTTGACTCACTATGAAAGTGTCTTTTTATCTAAGACAATTGCCAGTAAAATCATATACCTAAATGTGAACTCTCAGAGTTGTGGGAGAGTAGTGTATCCTCATGTTCTCCTTTCTGGACTAGTCTGAGTTGCATGATGTTATAGCCATAGGATATGAACAGATTGTACTTTTTACTGTAAATTAATTCCATGCTGACCCCTGCCTGCTGTACCATTGTGTCAGAGGAGTAAATCCATGAAGTGATGTAGTCCTGTGCTTTGCCTGCTAACCAAGCATTTGATGGCTTCCTCCTCCTCTTCCTGGCACTGTCCCATGTTTTAACTTTTTTGCTGATGGACATTGAATGGGTGTCACGCAAAATGCTTTTCTATTAGTTTAGTTACATTGTGTGTTGTCATTCCTGAATAGAATTGACATTGCCACTGCATTGCATTAGGAAGCATATGATTAACATGTAATTCACTGATGGTAAAAGCACCTCAGTGTCAGGGAAGTATAAAATTGAGAATACAGGATTTAGAGGCAAGGAATTGTTTTAACAGGTAACAGTGAGATTTCTTAGACATTCCCCCTTCCACAGTTTTTGGTGGATTTTTGTTTGGGCGGGGTTAGATTATTGTTCGCTACAGAATTTTGTTAAGCAAAGTTTTATAACAGCAAACTTTATTAAACTTCTTGTAACAAAAGAATCTGTATCATTAGCTAAATCACTTATGCACATAAATCATATAAGAGCAAATCAGTAAGTGAAAATATTGCCAGAGCTGAGATGCAGGAGAGACTGCATGTAAAAAGAATCAGTCTATCCTTCAGTTACAAGGAAAAGTCACAAACACAAATTATAAAACTTCCATGGTACAAATATACAAGGGAATGAAGTCTTGCTGTTTCCTACCAACAATTGTAAAGCAAACCAGAAAATGGTATTTATACACTTCACACAAAGTAACCTCCACATTACAAAACAATGTAGTTTGAAGTTTTCTGGGGGAGAGAGTGGCAGGATGCAAGCGAAATTTGCTCTTTAATAATAAGCAGAACTGGCTGAAAGAGAAGTCAATGATTTTGGCTATGATGCTTTTCAACCTGCATCTTTTAAAATGTCCAAGGTCTGAGCTTTCAGATAAATATATTTCTTGGTTTAGAGTTTATGTAAATCCCTGAGTCTGTTACTCATCTATGATGCAAGTACGTTGTTGCAAGGAGTGGAATTCTACTGTAATTCCTCTAAAACTGTTGTTGAGAGAGGAGTGAAGCCAGTGTCATCCAAGCTGTGTGGCTTTTATGAGAAGATGGGATACAGTAGGACAGAAGGGAACAGACAGTAACTGTTATGTTGCTTTGTCCCTGATAAGTCAGCAGTATTATAGGTGCTTAATGCTGCTCACTGCAACAACTCACATTCCATGCCCAAAAAACCCTGGAGTGAACAGAGAGCTGAGTGTAGCATGGCTTGTCCAGCAGCAGTGCAGGGGAGGGAGGGCAGGCAGGAGCCAGTACATGCAGGGAGCTGGCTCCCCGCTTGTATTAACTCCTGCTGAGCCAACTGCACTCCCTCCCGCAATATAGAGGCAGCAGAGGGCGCGGATGGAAGCTGGCTTAAAAGCCAGCTTCCTGTGAGCACGGACTTACCGGTGTAAATGTGTATCCCCTGAAAGTTTCAGGGGATACATGTTTACAAAATTAAATGCATTTTAACACCCTAAGAAACACATCAACTTCACTTAGTAAAAATCCACCACATAAACTTACTTTGTCTGAAAATCCTCCCCCATTTCCAAACTAGCATTCTATAGAGGTGCATTAAAAATATTGCGTTAGGAAGTTATCTTTTTATATTAGCCAAGAACTACTGTTGCATACTTCATTTGCAATGAGTTTTACAGATGTTGCACATCCCATTCATATTCAGCAAATATATGACTAGTAGCAGTTCCGTGAATATTCAAATGACGTGTATTATTGCAGAAATCATAGTTACATCTTTACCTTTAACTTAATTCACTAAGCTATATTAAGGAAAAAGCATAGAGGTGGGATGAAGAAAACTAGGAAGGGAAATTAAACTATATGATTACACAATATGCATATAAAAATGAAGACTATGCTATTTAAAATGTCCATATCAAATCTGAAGCCATGAAATGTCAATTAAAAACAAAATAAAATGTAGCTACAAACAGGGTCACTGATAGAATCACTTGTATTGTGCATGAGAGTAGGACCAAAGTACTACTTAAGGATAGCCTTTTACAGTGGAAACATTTTTGCTAATAAAGTTTATTCTGTTGTTAATTAGGTAGAGGGCTCTGGTAATTCACTTGAAATATTTCATTAGCAAACGTTTTTACCTGGGCTGAGGACTGACATATAATCAATGAGCAGATTGTATCTCTTTGTGGCTTTTTTTTTCTAGTGGGATTGTTTAGTACTGAAATGTGTGTTATGTTCACAAGGCAACTTCAATAAGATTACAGAACATTTCAGGTAACCTCATCATAATGATCATGGAATTTAAGGACCCAATCCTACTGTTGTTGCTCAGGCAAAAGATCTATTAAAAGCAATAGAAGTTTTGCCTGCTGAGGCGTCTCTAAGTAATTACTTCAGATTTTGCCCAGATATTTTAGATATTGGGGTACCCACTAGGGTGAAATCTTGACACTGGAGGTTTTCCCACTCACTTCTGCAACTTCAGGATTTCACCCCTATCTTCTAGCCCAATCAATTTTCAACTGAGGCAACAAAACAGAAAAAATGTGGCCAAGTACATTGTAACATGATATGTGGAATTTAAGTGTGTGTAAAGAGGACTCCCTAGAATACAGCAAAGTGGTAGATGTGGAATTTTATAAATGCTAGTTGGCCAAAACTATAAAATCTCTTTTATACAAACCATACTTAACACCTCATCAGTCTGAATTGCTGAGTTTGACTCAAATGTTGATACCCTCTTTTGGTTAATGAGCCATTCATACGGCCTCTGATCATCCATGATAACCCGAGAACAGCAACAATCCTACTACTTTAATTCAATGTGTAACTGCATTAGATGTGAGAGAGAAACAGTCTGTTACTGTTGCTGGAACTGGTTATTATGAGGCAGATATGAACACGTGCTCTAAGAATCTGCTCCTGTATCTGTTGAAATCAGTAGCAAAACTCTCACTGATTTCCAGGGTGAAGGATCAGGTCCTTAGACATTGTACAGGAAACCCTCAAGATGCAACCGCCCACACTGCAACCAATTTTGTAAGTGCAGAAGGGCTGAAAACTCCCAACTTACGTCCTCAGCCTGCATTTATGACGGCGCACAACGCCTATCGTAAATGAGGATTTGAGTTATGATGCCCCCGACTTGCGACGCTTCCCCAAGAACCAATCACATCACAAGTCGGGGGCTACCTGTAATGTATTTGCTGAGACAGTTGTCCTGTGTTTGTCTTAGCACGTGTGATGCTTCAGATTGACTGGCAATGGCAGACTGATTTCTTTCAGAAAGGGGACTCATGTTTACAAGCCATCACATAGCTTCACCAGCAGCCAATAAGAAAACATCATTGTTGTCTGTATTTCCAAACCCATTTAATAATTAATACTCTCAAATAGGCTGGATAAATGCAGACATTTTCAATGCTGTCATTCATATTTGGTACATAGTCATAGCTAGTTAGTTAATATCTGCAATAACAAAACTGAAAAATGAGACATTGATATGTGTACTTCTTGGATGGTTGCAGGCATGATCTTAAAACACTTGCCTTGTAATTAATGCCATAAATGCAGGTGAAGAGGTTATAACCACACTCGTACCTGCATTAATTCAATACCAATATTTTTGATGATGGAGTTTGTAGCTGATCAGGAAATTGCAGTGGAATCTTTAGACTCTTGCTTGTGTCTCCTCTCCTTTCATCTCTTCATTTTCAGGCATTCCAGAGGCAGCAGTTTCCCCAGCAGTAGAGTTTTCGTTTGTTGCATTAGGTTCTCCACTTGGTGTAGCTGTGGCAGCATACTCATTTTCTTGGGTGGGTATATTAACATACTCCACATTTGTCTGTTGCTTCTGAGTCATTGGTCTGCAGGAAGACAGGATGAAGGCTAGGTTAATTAATCACAAATTGAAATCCTACTTATTATAGAGCCATCCAAAAGGAATATTTTAGAAAGCTCTGGCCTAATAACTATAGTATGATTATTTAAATTACACACTAGTGCCTAGAGTTCCCCATTGTATATAAAAAGTATTGTGGTACAATTTGCAGGAGACATAAAGATTGGCAGAGTAGTAAATAAGGATGAGGAGACTGCAGTCAGATGGAGGGATCCAAATTGTTTGGTAAGCTGGGTCCATTCAAACATACATTTAAATACAGATAACTGCAAGGTTCTGCATGCAGGCCCTATATATGGAATGTAGGAGTGTATCCTGAAAAAGTAGCAACGCTGAAAAAAAGGTAGGGATTATAATGGACAAACAACATGAGCTCTTCGTACAATGCTGTGGCAAAATGTGCTAATGCAGTTCTTGGATGTATAAATTAGAGTACTGAATATAGGAGTAAGGGAGGTGATTTTACCTCTATATATGGGAATGGTGAGACCAGCACTATAATCCTTGTTTTGTGTCCCTATTAGTGAAAGGATATTGAAAAACTGGAAAGGATACAGAAAAGAGCCACAAAAGTGATTTCAGATCTGTGAAAATGACCTACGGTGAGAAATCCAAGGTGTTCGATCTATTATCTCTTTGTACATTTTAGAAATGTGCATCTGTCTGTCTGAGAGTCTGTCTGTGAGTCTTTGTTCAAGAACTCCTCCGAAAGGCTAAGAACTAGGACCACTACATTTGGTGTGCAGCTTCCTCTTCTCTTTACTTAAAGCAAGGTCAGGATTCGGTTGTGCCAGGAAAATGGGAAGGGGTGGGAAATGGGACTGTTTTCCAAAACATGGAAAGGAAGGGGCTGTTTGGAGGGAAGCTATACTCACAGTGACCACTGGGGGTAGTGAGCATAGGAGAGAGCTATATTGCAGAGTGACCACTGCGGGAAACGGTATCATGAAGGGAATGGCCAGCTGGTAATGGAGCTCACGATCTTTCCTGCCACCAGATTGAGTAAGTGGGGCCCTTCCACCCCATCCTAGGAAAGGGCAAAGGGGAGGGGAAAGGAAAGGACAGCCCCTCCCTCCCCCCAGCCTACTGCCCTTAACCCCCTTTCCCCACAGTTCTGCCCTGACTCCTGCAGTCTCCATACCATCAGCCCCCTGCCCTGCAGAACCCAGGCAACACTGGATAAATATTCTAGTCTTATTCAAAAGAAGATTACAAGGTGACTTGATTTCTCTGCATGGGTACCATCTCAGGAGAAAATACAACGGTACAAAAGAGTTCCTATTAACTTTGTGCAGAAAGGCAGAACAAGAACCATTGGCTGCAAGATAAAGCTGCACAAACTTTAGACTCCCAAAGGAAGTAGTGGATTCTTCATATCTTGTAATCTTCAAATCAATACTGGATGCTCTTCTAGAAGCTGTTTTAGTCCAGTGGTCATCAACCAGTGGATCGGGATCTAGTGGTAGATCTTGGAACCTTTGACAGGTGATCCTGACTGGTTTGGCCAGGAAGCTATCAAGTGCGGGCACTTCTGTTGCCCCCCTCCCCACCCCTCACACTGTCATGCTACTCCTGCCCTCTGCCTTGGAACTGGCCCCCTGGGAGCCTCCTGCTTGCTGTGCAGGGTGGGGGAGGAGGAAGAGGGAGCACTGATATCAAGGTGTCCCTCCTCCTTCCCACTTCTGTACCTTATCTCCATAGAGGGAGAAGGTGATGGAGAGAACTTGGCAATGCAAATCTCTGTCCCTCACACACTGTGTGTGTGTCTGTCATTCTCACAAACACACACTGTCCTTCACTCTCATCTCCCGCCCCAACACATATGTGGGGGGCTGTTATTTCTGTTACTGCTTGCAAGGTGTGTTACGTTTGGTTTTCGAATGATTTGTGCATTTAATTCCTTGAGTAGTGGGTTCTACAATGCCTAACCTGTCGTGGCTGGAGTCATTATCCCCATGGTAATTGCTGCTCCTGGAAGTGGCTGGAATTTGCCTGCAACCCCTGAGAGAAGCAGAGCAGGGGGTCTCCACATACTGTCCTTGCCTGCAGACACCACTCCTGCAGCTCCCATTGATCAGTAATGGGGAACCATGGCCAGTAGAAGCTAGTGCCTGTAGATGAGGGGCAGCACATGGAGCCATTGCTGTACATGCCAGCTGCTTTCAGTGGTGCAGGGCCAGGGCAGGATTAAACCTACCTTAACAATACTGCTCCACCACCTGGAAGTCATCTCAGTTAAACGGTGCCCAGCCAGAGCCTGCTTCCTGAACCCCATTCCCAGCCCTAAACCTTCTCCTGCACCCAACATCCTGCCCCAGACATGAGTCCCCCTGCACCCAAACTCCTTGTCAGAGCTTGGACCCTCTGGGCTCCAATCCCCATTCTGGGCTAATCCCAGAGCACCTCCCACACTCCAAATTCCTTGGCCCAAGACCAGAACCCACTACCTGGTGAAAGTGAGTGAGTAGGGGACATGGACTGAGCAGGATGAGGGCTCAGAGAAGGGGAGGCGCAGGGGCAGGGCCTCAAAGAAGGGGGGAAGGAAGTGGGGCCAAGGGTATTTGGGTTTGAGGTAGATCTTACCTTGCACTTAAATTGAAAAATGTGATCTTGTGGTTAGAAAGGTTGGAGGCCACTGTTTTAGTCAAACACTTGGGCCCAGGGTCAATAGTGACCAGCCTGCAAACTGTGGGCCACATGCAGCCCACTGGGGTTCTGCCTGCCGTCCCCCGACTGCCCCTCTCCTCATGTGCCTCTCGTGCACTGGAGCCCTGTTCTTCCTACTCTCCCCTCCCTCCCAGCCCCTTCAGAGCCCCACAGATCTGCTGATTTGTGTTCTGTCCCCGCTCCACCCTCTATCTCCCAGAGCTGTGTGCAGCTGTTCACGCTCTGGGATGGAGGGGCAGAGTGGGGACAGAGCACAAATCAGCAGTTTTGTAGTGTGCTGAAAGTGCTGGAAGGGAGGAGAAGAGTAGGATGTGTGGGACGCCGGTGCCCTGGTGCATGAGAGGCATGTTTGGGAAGGAGGCAGAGAGGCGGTATGTGGGCTGCAGGTGGAACCCCAGTAGGCTGCGGGCTGCAGGTTGCCCACCACTGGTCATGAGTCTACTGAGATGGAGGGACACTCATGTGGCCCACTCACTATTCTTGGTTGCCTATTGCTGGCCCAGATTCACAAAGTCACTTAGAAGCCTAAAGCCTAGTATTAGGCTGTATTGTAACCCAAAACATTCATGCTTGGCTGCTACCGAACCCTGTAGGTACTTAAATCTACTAGGCATCTCAGTTTTCATGATAAAAATTGCTCTAGGCAACTAAGCTTCTGCGTCTGAATATTCATACTGCTGCTTCACTCGAGGAACCCACATGCCCATCTCCTATATGAACCTCGGCCAGATCCACGAATGGGAGGAAGGTAGGGATGAACTGGTAGACATACTCAGAGGCCACATATTTCATCAGTTGGGATTCATAATTTAGTGGGAGGGATGGTGGAGTTCACCTACTTTATAAGTTTTAGCCAGTGATTCAAGCATTCACTTAAGATATGGGAGACCCAGGTTCAGTTTCCACATCAGCCTCAAGGGAAAGGAAGATTTGAATAAGGGCTCCCATGTCTCTCAGGAGCATGTTCTAGCCACTGAGCTATATGATATTTTGATGTGGGACTCCCTCGTCTCTCTCATGATAGCTTCAACAGGAGAGACTAATGTAGGTGAGGTATTACCTGCATTATTGTTGGGTTTTTAACCCAGAGGGAGAAAAAAAAGAAGGGAATAATACCTCTTCCCACCTCGTCTCTCTGATATCCTGTAACCAACATAAATACACACCAAAACTGCAAAAAGCTATAATGACAGTTTCAAAATGAGGCTAAAATAAATATTCTTACTTCGTAAATGTTATTGCACCATAGTTGACTTAGTCCCAAAGAAACCTTTGTAATATGGAAGTTTTGATTTTGGACCCATCTTTACCATCTCTCTTTAGGGTATTAGTCAGGAAACGTTTGGTTTACAATCAAGCAAACAAAAATTCTTACTGCATTTCGCTATTTGCTGCTTTTTCTTTAATCTTCTCTTTCTTCTTCCTCTTGGTTAAAAACCAGACAACAATGCAGATAACAATTGCTCCCAGAATTGCTCCAATTAATGCTCCAGCAATGAGACCACCTTCTGAATCTGGAAAAATATGTACGCAATTGTCATGAACAGGAGCAGTGCTAACTAGCACCAGGAGACTAAGGGGTTAACTCAGGTTCCTAGCAAAGGTATTGGCCAGGAGGGTTGGGGCAGTCAGCCAACAAAAATGCAGATAGGAATTTCAAACTGGGAAAGAGGGGTTTTTCTTTCTCTCTCTTCTTTGTTTGAGATCAGAGCAGTTTCTCCCAGGTATTGAGGGAGATGGGAGATGCTTCTCTCTACAAGAACGGACTTCTTGAAATGTGTAAGTAGGGAAAAGGTGGCTAATTGTTTTTCTCTTTTGTAACTAAGGATTACAGCCCAGGGATTTCCCCTGAGTCTGTCACTTCATGGCTATTTACCACCAAGTCAATTTATTATGCTTGCAACAGTAGGGTTTTTTTTTTTATAATAAAACAGTTTTCCTTTTGTTTTGATTAACCAGTATTGTCCTTAGGGTTAGGTGCCTAGTTACCCGGGCAGTGTCCATAGTTCTCTGCGGATTCCCTCTGTTTGTTTTCCCAATTCCAAGCAAAATGGTTGGGGCAGCGGGAAGAGCTTTGCCTTAGGGAGGGGATTCCCATGTGAGCTCTTCCGTGGAAAAGGGTTTATTTTTATATCTTTTTAAGTACACTTGGGTGGTGGCAGCAAATTTTTATTTATCTTTTTTTTTCTTAGATATCAAGGAGGCTGAGACCAGATAAGCTTGTCTCTGGGAGTGCCAAAGACAGGTTTTACAGAGTTTATTCTGCTAGCCAGGCCCCCATATCTGCACACAGTGTGTCATGTTGGGGGCTTGAGCCATGACATGGTGGTAGAAGTGGGATCATTTTGAGAACCCAGAATTTTAAAAGGGCATGAGTTTTTCTTTTGACTAGTTGCAAACTTTGGAGGGTTTTTTTTCCCTTTCTTCTTTTCTGTTGCTGCCTAAGGCACACCGAAGGTTAACCTGTAAAGCCAGACAGTCCAACCCAAATCATTTTTTTTCTAGCTTTCAGGGCAACTGGATAGCTAGGCTAGAATAGGGCAGGGAAACAGCCCAGTTCATTCTTTTGTGGTTGGGCAAAGTAGCCCTAGAGCAACCAACCCTTCCTAAGCGCCACCTCAAGGTGAAAACAGCCTCAGATCAGGGCAAGATGCCCAGCTCCAGGGAAGATTAACACCGCAAGGAAGGGAGACAGGAGGATGTCCCTGTGAGGTCAAGGGTAAGTAACCTTGAGGGGGCAGGAACAGCAGAGGGCGGCAGCTCTCCTCCTCGCTTACCACTGTCTTCTCTGTGGGAGAGTGCCTTTAAGGCAGACAGACCTCTAACTGAGAAAGAGATGGAGTTCTTACTACAAGTGAAGCGAGTGGAAGTGGAAATGAAACACTTAGACAAGGAAGTAGAAATGGAGGTGAGGAGAGCGGAAGCAGAAGCACAGGCAAGAAGTGCTGGGGTGGAGGCCAAAGTTGTGCTTGAGAAAGCTAAAAGATCAGATACTTCAGGAACCCCACCCAACAACCTTGCTCTAGTCACTGTTCATCACCCCAGGAAACCAGGTGGAAGATAATGTAGAGACTTCTTCCTCAACTTTGAAAGGGCCTGTCAGGGGTACAACATCTCCCCAATCAGTACATGATGGAATTATGATCGCAAATCACTGGTCCCTTACTGGGGGTGGCAGCCGACATGCAAGGGGACACCGTAAACAATTATGAACTGTTTAAACAAGAGGCCAGATTGAGGATGGGCCTCACTTCTGAACAGGCTCGTTCTAGGTTCAGGGGCCTAACGTGGACTCAGGCAGTGCTATTTCCCAAACACGCCGATCATATAACCAAAACATGGGATCTCAGGGGAAAAGGCTAATACCTGGGAAAAATTATTTCTCCTGATGCAGATGGAAAAGTTCCTAGCGGGTGTTCCTGGAGAGATTAGAAGGTACATGCTAGATGGAAAACCTAAAACCCTACGAAAGACAGGAGTGCTTGGTGCCAGATGGGTGGAGCTGAGGGGGAAAAGCAGTATGGAAAGCAGCCTATGGGGAACTAGAAGGGACATCAGGAGGGGGCATCCTACAACGGGGACCCTCCAAGGTCCCACCTCACAGGGAAAGGCTCTATACACCTCAAGGGAGGCCACAGACATTCCCTTGTCTCTCCTCCCCATCCTCCGGCTACCCATCTCGCCCCAGGGATACATCCAATGCGATGTTTTAAATGCAACGAAGCAGGGCATGTAAAGGCCAACTGTCCCAAGAGCACCAACAGACTGCAGCTCGTCACACCAGGAACCCTCCAGCCCAGATGCTGCACGGATACCCCCAGAGCAAAGGGAGACTGCATGTGGGTAGAAGGGAGGTTGCTGCATGGAAGGACACCAGAGCACAGATGTCAGTGATCCACCAATCCCTAGAGGACCCAAAATTCATTGACTCTGAGGTCCTAGTCACCATTCAGCCCTTCAAGACAGACCCTTTTCACCTGCCAACTGACAAGTTACTAGTTAAGTACAAGGATTGGTCAGGAACTTGGACTTTTGCAGTCTATGATGACTACCTTATTCCTATGCTGGTCGAGGGAGACTTAGCCAACCATGTGAACCAGGCTAAGAGGGTGGGAGTGGTCACTCGCAGCAAGATTAAGCAGGCATCCACATCTAAAACCATTCCTGAGCCTACCAGGGACCAGCCTATGCACCCAGACACTTCTGCGCCGGAGGTAATGGAGCCAGACCCCAGGCTAGCAACTACAACAGCATCAGTGGATCCAGTTCCTGAACTCCAGGTGGAACTAGCCCATGATCTGGAACAGGTGGAGCAGTTAGTACCAGGATTGGAACCAGCCGCAGAGGGTGCCACGGAGACTGCAGCTGAATCTGTGCAACAGGCCCCACTAGAGCCTGCAACGCAAGCCAGTGCACCAGCAGAAACTGGTTCCCCACCCGTAGAGGTACCCACTTCACCTGCATCACTTCCAGAGGGACCAAGCCTGATGTCTCCAGCATCGAGAGAGAGTTCCGGGCAGAACAGGAAGAAGATGAGAGCCTCAAGGGAGCTTGGATGGCGGGCAGAAGTGAACCACCACCTCTCAGCTCTTCTAATAGGTCCAGGTTTGCGGTAGAATGGGACTTTTATACTAAGAGTCTCTTTTTAGTAGGCACAAGGAGGACTGGCGTTCTCAGAGACAGTTGGTAGTTCCAGCTAAGTACTGGGAAAAGCTCTTGAGCTTAGCCCACAGTCACCCTCGTGGCCTCGTTGGGGTGAACAGAACCAAAGATCGGTCGAGAAGGTCATTCTACTGGGAGGGAGTGGGCAAGGTGATAGCTGGCTATGTAAGATGTGCCAACAGGTGGGGAAGCCTTGAGACCAGGCCAAGGCACCACTCCAGCCCCTCCCCATCATAGAGGTCCCATTCTAGTGTGTAGCTTTGGATATCATGGGTCCTTTCCCTAAAAAGACCTCCAAAGGGAAACAGTTCTTTCTAACCCTCGTGGATTTTGCCACCTGACGGCCAGAAGCAGTGGCTTTAGGAAGCACTATGGCCAGGAACGAGTGCCAGGCATTGACAGATATCTTTGCCAGGGTAGGTTGGCCATCAGAGATCCTCACATATTCAGGGACTAATTTCCTAGTAGAGGCCATGAAATGCCTTTGGGAAGCTCACGAAGAGCACCTAGTTGCTACCCCCCTACCAGCATCAAACAAATGGCCCGGTGGAAAGATTTAATGGGACTTTGCGAGCCATGATACGCAAATTCGTGAATGAACACTCCAATGGCTGGGACCTGGCTTTGCAACAGTTACTGTTTGCCTATAGAAATGTCCCACGTCCCAGTTAGGTATTCTCACCCTTAGAACTGAAGTATGGCCGTGAAGTTAAGGGTCCTTTGCAGTTAATAAAGCAGCAATGGGAGAGGGTTACCCCTCCTTCAGGACCCAACATTTTTGATTTTCTGCACAACCTACAAAATACCATTAGAGACTCTCTAACTCTCACACAAAAGAACTTGCAGGATGCTCAACAAGAGCAAAAGGCCTGGTATGATAAGCATGCCAGAGAGCGGTCCTTCAAGATAGGTGGGCAAGTCATGGTACTGAAGGCACTTCAGGCCAATAAGATGGAAGCATACTGGGATGGACCATTCACAGTCCAAGAGTGCTTAGGAGTGGTTAATTATCTCTTAGCATTTCCTGACCCTGCCCTTAAGCCTAAGGTATATCATGTTAACTTTTTGAAGCCCTTTTATTCCCGAGAATTCAAGGTTGTTCAGCTTACGGCCGAGGAGAAGGAGAACATGGAGTGGCCCGAGGAAGCCTACTATGACGGGAAAGACAGGAGTGGAGTAGAAGAGGTAAGCCTCCCCATTAGCCTTGGCCGTGAGTTGCGACGGCAGATCGTGAAGCTGTGCACCAAGTTCACCCCAATGTTCTCAGCCACCTGGGGACGGACCGAACTGGCGTGTCACTCCATTGACACAGGTGATGCTTGCCCAGTTAGGTCTCAACCCTACCGAATGGCTCCTTCAGCCAAGGCAGCTATCGCAAAGGAGATCAAGGACATGCTAGAATTGGGTTTAATTCACCTTTTGGAGAGCGCATAGGCACCTCCAGTGGTCCTGGTTCCCAAAGCAGATGGAGAAATCCACTTTTTCATGGATTGCTATAAGCTGAATGCTGTAACTCCCCCGACAACTATCCAGTGCCACACACAGATGAGCTATTGGATAAACTGGGGCACGCCCCGTTCATCTCCACCCTAGACTTAACCAAGGTACCTTTGGAGGAAGCAGCCAAGGAAAAGTCAGCTTTCATTACACACGCAGGGCTATCTGAGTGCCTAGTTCCCTGGGAAGAGTCCATTGTTCTCTGTGGGTTCCCTCTGTTTGTCTTTCCAACTCCAAGCAAAATGGAAGTTGAGGCGGGGGTGGGGGTGCAGGAGCTTTGCCTCAGGGAGGGGATTTCCAAGTGATCTCTTCCCTGGAAAAGGGTTTATTTTATATATTTTTAAGTACGATTGGGTGTAGGCAGCAAATTTTTACTTGTAATCTTTTTTTTTTCTTGGATCTTAGGGAGACTGAGACTGACTAAGCTTGTCTCTGGGAGTGCCAGAGACAGGTTTTACAGAGTTTATTCTGCCAGCTGGCCTCCCATATCTGCATGTAGTGTGTCTGGTTGGGGGATTGAACCGTGACTGCAATGTTAATTTTAAAAACCACCATTATAGGGAGAATTCTATTGAATGATGGAAAGGGGGTATTAGGCACTAAGAGGTGAGACTAAAATCCATGCTTCTAGAAAAAGGGGAGTCAGGCTTACATTATTCTTAGCCTCCCAGCTTCTTGCTAGATGGCACTATATTGGCAGCTGTTCTCTACCCAAGCAGACAAAGACAGAAGTGGGATGCTTGACCAACTTAAATAATACATCCTCCACTTTAATGTCTGTCTAAAAGAGAGATAATACAGTTGCTGTTGGCTCTTCAATGCTTGCAAGCAAGCTTTTTATTCTGGATGGCCTCTATCTCCCATTTTTGGTTGAGTTCTGAAATGCAGGTAAACCTATCTGTGATCATCACTAATGATCCTGTATCATTTTCATGGGTGTTTGCGTTGGTGTTCTGTCAAAGTTTCAGTTCACATTACTACAGTCTACCATTAGAGCATCTCCCTGGTAGTTTTGTTTGAGCAAGGCACCTTTTTTATTTTACAGATCAGTTACCCAGAGAGAGAAATTATTTTAAGGACCCACCCAAGCCCTTATTGCTCTGTTCTCAGAACATTTAATTCTACTGACTACCAGGAAAAAGCACATTCAACTCTGATAGGCCACAGACTAAAAACAATTGGGGCAAGGTACGCTTCTTTCTTTCCAACCTAATGTTACACAGTTAAACAGCTGCAATCCTCCATGCCATAGACTGGATCATTTCAATGGTGTTTGTAAAGCATTCTCAGCCTCATTTGGATGGTGAGCTTGAAAACAGTAAACCTAAGGCTGGGCCTGTTTGCTCTAAGCCAGTTAGTGGTTTATGTTTTTAGACCCAGGGGTCCAAGTTTCAATTCCCACTGCTGAAAAACCACCTTGGGACAGAGTTACAAAGTGGAGTTCCATACAGAGCTTTGAAATGTGTGCACAGAAGATGTGCATAATCCAAGATGCTTACTCAGGATTGCTTTCTTTCCCCCTCTACTGGCTCAACCACACCAAGGTTTGTGAGGCTGCTACAGCCTTCATCTTACAGAGCTAGGTTGATCAGTTAACTCACTGTAGAAGCTTGTGATTTTAGATCTAGAAGTTCTAGATTCAGTCCTTGATAATGACAATCCAATCAAGGATGTGGTGTTAGATTAGCATTTGTATAGTTTATTAGATATTTAAAGTCATTTAGGAACATTAACTAATTAAGTCTCACAATACTCCTTTGAGATGTTTCTGAGCATACATTAGTATGCCCATTTTGCAGGTGGCAGACAGAGGCAGAGAGATTAAATGACTTTCCCAAAGCCATACAAGGTTCAGTTGAATTGAGAACTGAGGATCTCTTGCCTACCAACCCCTTTTTTATTCCAAAATAGTCCACTTTTTAAAAAATGTATTTTTGTTGTTGTTCTGATTATGCAGTATGAAAAGCACATTTTATCCTATCCATAAAATGAACTCACGTGATGCAGTCAAGTCAATTTCACAGCTGCTGTTTCCAAGGCTGTTACTAGCTATGCACCGGTAGTATCCATTTTCAAAGGTGGTGAGATTACCAATAATAAGAAGCCCAGTTTTCATATCTGTGACAAATGGAAAAGATTTATGTACATGCATGTTTATACTAGGGATGTAATATAGTTGTCGATTAACCGATATGCAAATCCTTATTGGTTAATGCTATTGACTATATGCAGTTAAATGCAGAGCCACAGAACATTTAAATGCAGAGCCTGGCTTAGTCACGGTCAGGACCAGACCCTGCAGCGACTCTGCATTTAAAATGTAGTAGGAACTGGGCGGGCAGACTACCTGGCTCAGTCCTGGCTTGCACCAGGTCCAGGACCTACCCCCATTGTGACTCTGCATTAAATTGTAGTAGAAGCTGGGCTGCCTACCCACCCAGCTCCTACTATATTTTAAATGCAGAACCACAGCTGGGTTTGGTCCCAGACCTGGCGCGAGCTGGGACTGAGCCGGGCTGCCTGCCAACCCAATTCCTACTACATTTTAAACACAGAGCCGCAGTTGGGGTAGGACCTGGACCCAGCACAAGCCAGGACTGAGCACTTTAACTGCCTTCCCTTATCGACTAATCATGTAGTTACAATTAGCAAATTACCCACTTCTTAACATTCCTAGTTTATACCCTATATAGGTAATTAATTGTATTTACTGAATAAGAATAATATGATTAATACAAGTCATGGGAGGTTTTATTATAGATTTTGCAACATTTAAATACAGAGATTTCTGTAAAAAATCTATTTAGAACCATTTATTTTCCTTGAAAACAATTGTTACATAATTTTACAGAGAACTCTGCAGCATCACATTAAGTGCATGAGAACCAGGGCCCCTGTCCTGCAAACACAGAAGCATGTGTGTAGTTTTACTTGTGCAGGTAGTACTGTTGAGGCCAGTGGGATCTCTTTAAGATGTAAAAACTATGCACATACTTAAGTGTTTGTCCTAGGAAACAAAACAACAATTTAAATTACACTGGTTATAAGTTTAGTGCAAGTTTGCATCTCTCATGACAAGGTGAGTGAGAGTTACTGTTGTTGTTTTTTTGTTTTGTTTTGTTTTGTTTTAGTAATCAGATTGTTGCAGTCTTTTTCACTTGAATACTCTGAAGTGTAATTAGTATCACAGGTAAGATTTTTTTTAAATAATTATCTTTTCTGAGACCAGCAACATTATTTATTGTAAAATTTAAAAAACCAAACAGGTTAATGCATTTGTATGACTGTTAGGAAATTTTTGATAGGTAAGAATAAATTCAACCCACATTGTTGCATGCAAAGTAGGGAAATCCAATCTTTCCTGTATAGACTATTGAATACTGGCTCTCCCCGACTTGTGATGCGATCAGTTCCGGAGATCACGTCGCAAGTCGGGGGCATCATAATTTGAGTCTGCATTTACGACAGATGTTGTATGCCATCGTAAATGCGAGGCCGAGGATGTAAGTCGGGGGATTTCAGCCCCTTCCGCACTTCTGGAAAAGGCCGTAAGTGCAGGGGATCGTAACTTGGGCCATCGCAAAGCAAGGGCCTCCTGTACATGGTTCAGGCCATATACTCTAGCTCTTGCATGTTACACACTAGCATTGAGGAAGATACTCACTGAGTTGTTCTGTCATGGGTTTGAGGGCATCCCCTGAAACTTTATGCCACTGGTATATAGGTATAGGCATTCCTTCATCAGAATAGCAGGAGAGAGAGATAAGGTGGCCTGTCTCAGGGGTTCCCCGTAAGCTACAGTGAGGCTGTGAAGGCTTGACTGTAAAATAACAACAGGAAAAATAGTTATAGAGAGGATACAAATTCTGGGCCCCAATCTTGCCAGATCTAAGTCTACTTTGTTACACTGATGTAAATCTGGAACTAATCTATTGACTTCAGAAATGTTTTTTAGATTTCTGCCAGAATTCTGACCACAATCTCTCCCTTATAGACCTGAACAGCAATAAAGTGAACAATTGGGGGGAAACTCCTACTGCCTTTGATGGTGTTTAGCAGATGAAGTACTTGTATGAAGGCTATGACATATTGCATCTTGATGGAAAAGATTTCAATGATACTACGACTGTCACTTTTTGTCCCAGTCAAATCACTTTCTGTCTTGTGGGATTATCATTTTCTGTGTAACAAGCTTTAGTCTATATGGATGCAAAGAACTATAACCTGATTCCTTAGTGCCTGGCATCTGCAGAGTCATTTACACCGGTGCAAAGTATTACCATTCTATGGTAGCAGTGGTTTATACTCATTGGGCCATATTCCACTCTGAGCTTGTTTTTAATTTCCTCCATTTGCTTCGTTGTGTCACCCATTTAACATTATTTAAACATATTGTTGTGGGTCTCTTCTGTATCTACACTGCTGTGGAATTATACCAGTGATGAATCTGGCCAAGTTTTTATCTGTATAAGTATATGTTTGGTTTTCTAGGAAAAACTACAATCCCCTTTTTCAAGCTTTGAGTCAAACTAGCATATGCTCTTGTTTATTATTCTGTTGCAGCGTAACGGCTGCAGGGGTTGTTTTTAATGATGTTTTTAATGTCTGTGCTTTGAAAATTTGTTTCTTCTACTGGATTTATCCCCATATGCCTTTGTCTCTGCCGTATAGACCAGAGGTGGGGAACCTAAGACCTGCCTTGCCTAGATCCAGCCCCTAAGGCTTGGGGCTCCCTCTTGGCAGAGGGGCTGGAGCACCAGAGCGGGGTACCCAATGCTATCTTCCCATGGGCTAGAGCACACAAAATCTATTAGCCTGGGCCCCCCAGGCTATAATGTGCTAGAGGGATGTGGGGAGTGTCTTTTTCCTTCTCAGTTGGGGATTACATCAGTGAGAGGGTTTTTTAGTTCTCACTTTTTTGTGGTCCCTAACTGATTTTTCTGTGGGTCAGTGGCCCCCAACCCAAAAAAGGTTCCCCACCCCGGAAGACAAATGATACAGCTAGAGCCATTTTCGCATATGTACTGATTTCTCACTTTCATCAACTACCCAGAGAGTATGTGGACAGTTGTTAGGTGGGATTAGTATTAACATTTTCCTTGTTAGCAAGTAAAATTTTTCTTGTCCCATTGCTTTACATACTTGTTCAATTATCTATTCGTGGCTGAACTACTGCTTTTTTCAGTAGATATGGACTCTGTACACAGAACAGGGAGTTCTGTTGATTAGCCCTTTTAATAGAGAGGCAGCATTTGTACTGTTTATAAAACTAGGACTTCTAGATTTTACTGCTGGGCCCACCGTCTGTGGGGCCTTAGGCAAGTCCATATGAGATTTTCAGATGTGGAGGTCTAAAACTAAATCAGCAAGTGGCCTGATTTTCACAGCTGCTTTAGGCTTCCAAATTTTAAAATTCGGGGCTTAGCTTCAAAGCCTAGGCCAGCTGCCTAGAGGAAATGTTGTCAGAGTGTGGTGGTGGTTCCCATCCAAAGGGAAAGCTGGGTAGTAACAGCTACCAAAGGGATGTCTACTTCTCTGGCCATCATAGTAGATAGATCTATAATGCAGCAAGGTTAACATGGCGAATTCCCATGGCAATTCAGATTAGGACAGGCGAGTGCAGTTATTAGTTGAGAGCAGTGTTCCCTCTAAACTGGGGGGCAGCACAGCTTCACAGGTGAGTAATCAGCCCTGCCCAGTCAGAGGTTCTCAGGGCTCCATGCACAGAGCTGCCAGGGTTGGGCTGATTAATCACTTGTGAAACTGTGCTGCCCCGCAGTTTAGAAAAAACACTGGTTGAGAGCGCAAATTTCAGCATATCCGGATTACCCCGTTCATTAGGGGTGAGCAATGTTCCACAGGCACTGTAGTCAGCCGTCCTTTCCATGATTGCTTCATCCAGGGCCTTAGAGGATAGGTCAACATGCGGCTGGGAGTGATCTTCCCGAAAGCCTGAACGCCAGCCCGACCACAGTGTCCCTCCTACTATTTTGAGGGTCCCCGCTTGAGCCCTTGTGGCACGAACCTGTCTGCCCACTTTGAGACACTCCTGCCCAGTGGTAGTGTAGACATACCCAGAGACATTCTGTGCTAACCCAAGGCAGGTGGCAGTTGGTTTGTCTGGGAAGTGGAGAGTACCACCAGCTCTGTCTGTGCCCAGCAGCCCAGAAGAAGAATCTCCTTTCTGTCAACTAAAACAAGTCCTATTTCTTTACCGGAAAAGTTACTGCATTGTACAGCTCCAGGCCCACTGCACTGACTGACCAAAAAGTGCCAATGTTCCCATCTGCTCCCTGTTACATTATTCTCTTGGGGACCCTGCCATGCATTTTAATCCCAATTCAACACCATAAAGCAACACAATAAAAACACATTACCCAGTACACTAACAGCCACTGATTTCTGGTTCTGTCCATTTGAATCTTGTGGGTTGAAAACTTCACAGGTAAAAAGCCCAGTATCTGAGGGCTGCATGTTGGAGATTGTTATTGATGCATTTCCTGGGTTTGTTGTCCCATTTATTCTGTTCTTGAACTCTCCATACTCAAACGTCTGTCCATTCTGAAAATAAAAGATCTGACACAAAAAACAGATTGCTAATTAAATAAGAAGTTGAGCTTCTAACTTGCATTTTGTTTTGTGCTGCTATGTCAATACAAAGGAATTTCAGAAGAAGCAAAGCCACCTTATGTCCAGTTCCCTCACTGTACAGTGCAATGTAAGTCAGTCCCCCATGACAGAGCCTGGGTCATTCTGGTTGGGAGGCTAAGCTAATATACTGTGGGAACTGTAAAATTAGAGCTGGAAAGCCATTTTTTCTTTACAAGAAACCAACTGCCAGGCAAGATTATGGACCATTATGTTATACTCATAATATATAAAGGAGAATGTTTGTATGTTTGTGCTCTAATAACTTGGACACTATAAGAGCTACCACAACCCAACTTTGAATGGGATAACCTTTCCTCCAGGAGAAGGTTTTAAGGTACTGTGGAAGGGTGTGGCAGGGACCCCACTGCCCCTCTCCATGCCCCCGCACTAGCTCTTCCGGCAGCAATGTGCTCCCAGGCCGCCGGTGTTCTGGGCCTGTGGCGCTTGCGTTGTGGCGGCGTGCGGAGGACCGCCCTCACAGCGCAGACGTGCCTCAGCCAGCGTGCAAACCAGTGGGCAGGTGGACCTGGAGAGAGCAGGTGCACTGGCAGGGACGCTGGCATGGAAAAGGGTGCTGACAGTTAAAACTGGTGCTGGGCCAGACACAAGAGGGAGAGAGAGAGAGAAGGAGGGAGGGGGAGCAGGGTCGGCTCTTTTGCATGCTGCCACCCCTCCCTTCCCCACCACCTTCCTAACTGCTGGCCTGTGCCCCACACAGACAGCACCACCCTCTGCCCCACAGCTTCCCCATCACCTCCCAAACTGCCAGCCAGTGTCCCACACAGACAGCACCCCACTCCTCCCCACCCCTCCCCCGCCACCTCCCTAACTGCCATCCTGTGCCCCACACAGCCAACCCCCACTCCGCCCCACCCTTCCCTGCCACCTCCATAACTGCCACCCTGTGCCTCACATAGACAGAGAATCTGATTTTCTTCCACCACATCTGTCCAAGTACCACCCTATCTAATACATAAAGGAGAATGTTTGTAAGTTTGTGCGCTAATAACTTGTCACTATAAGAGCTACCGCAACCCAACTTAGCATGGGATAACCTTTCCTCCAGGAGAAGGTTTTAAGGTACTTTTAGACCTGATCAGGGTCCCGTCCTGCCCCCCGTGGCACCTGCGGCCCCGGGCACGAGCTGGGGTGCCCTTCCCGTGTGTAACTTTCCCCTACCTGGGGTCGCTCCCCACCTGCCACCCCCCTCCCCGAAACCAAAACCGAAGCCGGCCAGCCTTTCTGCTCAGCTCGCTAGGCTTAGCCAAGCAGAAGGAATCCGTGTGCCTGCTGCAGCGCAGGGCAGAGGGGCCGGGTTAAACCCTTGATGCGTTACACTGCTGTGAAGCCAGCTGGCTGCTGTTCATGCTGTGAGTGGGGCTCTTCTGGGTCTGGTGCCAGCCAGCGGGGCTGGACGTGAGCTCTGAGCTTTTGCTTGCCAAGGTGGGACAGGTGGATCCCTGAGCCAACATTACAAAGAGAAGTCCCCTTGCTACTGGCCGCATGACTGTGTACTGTTCTCCTGGGGGCTGGCTGCTCGGTCCTGGGGGGAGGAGGGTCCTTCTTCTCTCAGAGGGTCAGGTGTGGGCCAGGAGCCATCAGGCTCCAGGGTCTGTGTCTCTGGGAGTGTCGCATGGTTCAGGGTCCCCTCCTTTCCTAAATTTCCTACATTCTGTTCCTCCGGTTTCCCGAGCAATGCTGGGTAAGTCCAGCTAGTAAGTAATAAAGCTAAGTCATGTACAATTAACAGAAGGGTTAATTAGAAGTCAAATTATTTGTGATGTAATTGATAACTAGGCCAGTCTAAGATTATTGTAAGAAATGGAATTGCCATTGCAAAGAACAGATATTTGCATGGTTAGTGAAAACAGTACTTTCTAAATTAAAGTATAAACAAGCAATAAAAGAGGTGAAGTGCAACTAATGAAATATAGCTAAGACTGGCTAATGCAGAAAGACAAAACACAAGGGTAAGTAAATCAGAGATCAGCTATGTGTGCAGTAAATGTGGAGGCAGTCACAAAACAGGGCAGAGGTGACTACCCCAAGCAACTGAAGTGCTATTCATGCAATAAAAGTGTCACACAATATCAATGTTTCTGTTCCTTTTGGTGTCATGGAGGGTGGGGTCATTATCAGAGACCTTTAGGCAGGCCCCAGTTTTTTCCTTTTCTCAATATGCTCCAAGAATTAGATCAGGAGAAACAACTGATGCCAACCCTCATGTTTCAAGTCCTTCACCTGAGATCATGAAGATGTTCCTGCTTCTCCGTCGAATGGGAAAATGATTGTCATATTGGGCACATTGTGGGGATTTGCATTTTCCTGTCAAACATACAGCATCTTCCCTCAAACAATGTGCCCTGCTCTCTGTTCCAAGCTCCTACAACACTAAGGGACAGATGGTGTCACCAAACACTGTGGCTATGTCTAGACTGCAGGCTTCTTTCGAAAGAGGCTCTTTCGAAAGCATCTTTCGAAAGAGCCTCTTTCGAAAGATCGCGTCTAGACTGCAGGCGGATCTTTCGAAAGACAAATCCGCTTTTTCGAAAGAGAGCACCCAGCGAGTCTGGATGCTCTCTTTTGAAGACGGCCTCTTTACATTGAAAAACGCCTTCTTTCGAAAGAGGAACTTTCGAAAGAAGGCGTTCTTCCTCGTGAAATGAGGTTTACCGCTATCGAAAGAAAAGCCGCGTTCTTTCGAAATAATTTTGAAAGAACGCGGCTTGAGTCTGGATGCAGGGGAAGTTTTTTCGGGAAAAGGCTACTTTTCCCGAAAAAACCCCTGAGTCTGGACACGGCCTTCGGGATATATCCCCACAATGTATTGTTCCCACTGTTGGCGGGAACTAAACCTGTGGACGCAGTCTGTCAACAGAGGGAACAAGTATAAACACACTTTGATGACTTACTGTTGTACATTCAGATGTGCTCTATTGCCTTCAGTGGTGTTACTGCTGATTTACAGCAATGTGACAGCCGGTTTAGATTCCATAAACTTATGGACCTGAACTTTTTCTCATAAAAGTCTGTAGCAAAACTTCCATTGATTTGAATGGGAAGTAGAATTGAGCCTATTGTGAGTGGTAGTGGTGGTTTGAATCTTGGGACTTCAATTTATCTAAGACTACTCATATCTCAGCTACCATGGTGATGGGTGTGGTTTAGGAACGTAAACAGTAATGAGAGACTATTCACACTTAACCTATTTAGTTCTCTTATAAAAGTGTACTGAAAAAAAATCAGCTTCCCTGAACGACATTGAAACATTTGTCATTTAAATCCAGTTTAATAATAATACTCCTGCATAACAGTGCTACAGCTTGGAATTTGTAGTGCTCAACTCTATTCCTACTTGGATAAATGCTGTTTCATAACTAATTGGCAATGTACAACTTAAGGGGCTCTTCTTGTAAACCATTTGCCCAGATATAATGAGCTAACCTACTGTAGTTAGTATGGTGGTAAAATCTTGGTTAATGAGATAACTGGCTAAATGTTATGTTTCGTCAGTTAACCAATTAACTGGGACAGGTGGGGGTTGCCGTAAACGGGTCTGCTCGGGCCAGGCTGCAGCGCTAATGCCTGTGGCATCAGGGCTAGCCCACAACATTTTGGCACCAGAGCCGGGGAGCTAAAATGACGCCCCCATTCCTCCTTACTTGAGCCAAAACTTTGAAAGGTCTCAATTCTGCCATCTTCCTGTTCTACTCCTTTCATGGCACTCCACCATCTCTGTGCATCTAGAGCAGAGAGAATACACATGCACCAGCAGCAGACACAATTTTCTACACTCTGGGTCCTAGTGGCTGCCCTCTCCCCCCCACCTACATTCTGGCAGCTGCCTCAGTTCACCTCATAGTAAGGCCAGCCCTGTGTGGCATGGTTAACAGTTAACCATTCACAGCCATAGTATTTAGTGGGTCTTCCCGTGGTAGTTAGCAGTAAAAATATGTCCAGCAGTGTTTACTGGATTGGATCCTTATTTAGTATAGCATCTTTCCTATCAAATGTATTTCACAAACAAGCATACAGTAATATTTGTCACTGATGGACTGACCGTTGACTTATTACTAGAAGTGGTTGAAAAGTACATGTGGGAAAGTTTCACAAATGTTGGTCAAGTTTCATTTGCTTCTGACTCATCAAAATTACATTTTGACAAAGATTTCCAATCAGCTTTAGTTCATGAATCCCTACCCCCCAGACAATAAGCACAATTCCATTTGCCTTGCAGATCTGAAGATTATATTCTGAATAAAAAATCAACATCTGTGTACCCTGACACAGTGTTGACTGAAGTCTTTAATCAATGTTATCTAGACGCCTTTATTAGCTTAAGGCAAGCTACACCCCAAAACTGCCAACATACAATTGGTTCATACAATGATAAGATTTTCACTGAATGTCAAAACTCAGGTTACCTGCTGTACAATACAGGTTGTACCTTCCTAAACTGGGACTCTCTGGTCTGGCAACATCTGTGGATCATGGATGTTGCTGGTCCACAGAGCCCAGGGACAGGGAGGTCTGGTGGCAGAGCCAGGAGCATAGCTGGGGGGAAGTGGAGGGGAGAGAGAGGGGAAGGCGGTGACTCAGCCAGGAGCCCCATGGCAGCTGTGGTGGGCAGTTAGGCGGAGCTCTGACCCCAGTGGCTGGGGACCTCCAGCCCTGGCAGCAGTGGAATTGGTGGCAACCAGCGAGCTCTGCCCCGGGGACTGTATCATTTATGTGTCACCCCGAGGAAAAGTGATAAATACTGAAAAGGCTGAACAATGCTGTTATTAGTGACAAAATATATATTCTATGCCGGGGTCTGAGTAGATTTTGTATGCAGGAAACTTCATTTAAAATGTTATGCTTCAATTAATAGGCTGTTACTTAATTGCTGATTTTAAACAGGTGCATTCAAAAAGAATATTTTA